ATGGCAGTGAGTTTGGTTTTACTTCATAAGAAAAATTTATTTATGATGAGGGATGAAGATTTTTTCAATTGGTCCTTAGGAGAGTCTTTGGAAATTCTATGCATGACCTGACTGACTTAGCTGTTTTTGGTCTAGAGTGATCTCAGGCAGGCTGTAAAAGACTCCAGAGGTTCAGTTGAAAGGTTTCAACTTTCCTTTGGCAGGACTGGTTTACCTACAACTTTTTCTTCTCTTTCCTGTACTTAACAATTTTATGTGTTTAACTACTCCTTGGGGTATTCTAAGATGTTTTATTTGCCTGTATTATGTACTTGTGTTTGTTTTTAATGCTAATTTTATTTTTCTAACTTTATATTTTCAGTGAACCTAATCAAGTGTCATTTTTTCATTTGGCTGGAGACTGAAGATATGAGGCTGAAGATATCTCTTTTAAAAGAACCTAAACATATCCTTTTAATATTTATAAACTTTATTGTAAGCATCCTATTTATTGTTAAACATTTTCTACTTAGTATTCTCATTGGAGGATGATTTTTTTTTTCATTTAATGACAGATTAGCTAAGTTTTGCAAAATATTAAGGTTATGTGTATTCAGATAACTCTCCAAAGCAAACTAGTTGCTCTAAGTCTTATTTTCAATTCATATCAACATTTTTCTTACTCAAGTACTATACTTAAGTACACACAGAGCAGTTTTTGTTTAGTCTAGTGGAATCTTAGAGAAATTTTTTTGTAAAACAAATAATTTCTTTGCTCATATGACCTGGTGTCTTTTCATTTAGTTTTACTGTAGTCACATTGATGATAAAGTAGGGGGGAAAGTAGAGGAATTTGAGCCGTCAGACCTTTATTATTTTAAATGGGAAGAAAGCAATTGTTATTTTCTCAGATATATGCTCCTATATTTTGTCACCAAAAGTTCTTTTATGCAGAAGAGGATATTTTTGGCCCCTCTGACATCATTATTAATCATTTAGACTAGTGGTTCTCAACCTGTGGGCCACCACCCCTTGGGGGTCGAACGACCCTTTCACAGTGGTCACCCAATTCATAACAGTAGCAAAATTACAGTAATAAAGTAGCAAAGAAAATAATTTTATGGTTGGGGATCACAACAACATGAAGAACTATATGAAAGGGTCGTGGCATTAGGAAGGTTGAGAACCACTGATTTAGACAATGCTACTCAAAGTATTACCTGTAGCCCTTAGTGTATGACTCAGTCGAAACGCACATAGAAATTATAATTTTGAGAAATTTTTATAGGAAATTGATGTTGCCACTTCCAAATGTGAGGTCATTTTTCTAGTAATTATTCCATCTAACAAAATATCAATATACAGTTTGAAATAAAGAAAAATCTGGTTCTGCATTCAAAGAAAGAGAAGTACCTTTGTACTTTAGACCTTTGACCTTTTTGAATTTCTATTCGCTCCTCATTTGTATTGTGTGCTTCCTTTACCTTTTAGTCGAAGCTTTGCTGCTGCTATTCTTAAGTGCCATTGAGGTAGTTCTGACTTAGAGCGATTTCATGAACAGATTGAAATACTGCCTAGCCCTGCACAATCCTCACAATTGCTGTGTGAGCCTAGTATTATTCCTTTCATTTCTCCTTGAACAATTTTTTATCTGTTGTCAAAGTGTGCCCTCCAGAGTTCATGCCATACACAACTTTATAGCTTTTCACCATGTCTGTCACCTGTTTTTACTTTTTCAAACTGAAGAATAAGGTTTTTAGACTTCCTCAATCCAACTGTCCTCAAATTTCTCTCATAATTATAGTTGGCCTAATCATTTGATAATACAGTGACCAAAAACTGCATCGTGCAACTCTGATATGCACTTAGTGTAATTTATATAAAGATAAGCCAATGTGCTTTGGTTTGCGATGTGCATGTATGTCTTCTCCCTAGATTTCTAGGATTTGCTTAACATTGTTTAGCCTACAACAGTGACATTGGAACAGTCTTATCAAGAATGATCCAGTGAAATCAGTGCACTAGGTTTAGCTCGTGCTTTATTTTCCGAG